ATTTCAATAATATTTACATAACTGGATTATGGGTGAAAATCTTTATTATTCGTTCGATGACGATCAATTGAGCTCTCTCTGTGCCTACTTTCTCCCTTCTTTAAATTCTCTTACAATGCATTCAACTTCTTGATTATTCCAAACTACAATCGGTGATGCATAAAATTCTGGATTTCCAGGATTTAGATATTTAAATCCCTGTACAAACAAACAATGCATCTCCCAATTGAATACGCGCCCAGGTAAACTAATATTAATTTGTGCCGTCGGTGCTCGTACATAATTCAAAAGTGTAAAACAACGACCGATTGAAATTTGTATTTAACAACATAATTATAAACCAATTACACGGGCTTGTAGGCGATTCGCCGGCGCGGCGTTCCGGTCCCATTCTCAATTAGCGTCCGCTGTAAATCCCCGCTCTGCTCGCCCGTCGACTTTCGATGCGAATTCGCCATCTATGTTAATAAACGATGGAGCGATGATGAAGCGCTGAGCCCCGGCATTCACACACCGGACGGCCGAATCCGAAATGAAATACTAATCGAATAGGACCTCTAATCAAATAGCTTTGGTTCCGTGTCCCAAATGGTCGCCGGTATCTCTCTGTTCTTCTACGTTTTGCAAGCGATTGCCGAACGAATTCAATTAGGCAATCCGGTTGAGCGCAAATTAAAAATCGCAAAAAGACGCGGGCTCAATTTGAACTTTTAATTCCATCGGTTTGTACAAAACTAGATCAATTGAGTTAATGGAATTCTAGAAAGAAAGAGATAAATTCTATACTTGGGTAAGTGCAGGTTTGTTTGCGATACAGTCAATTCTATGTGTTGAACAAAGAAAGATTATTAAACTTTATACCTTTGCAGCCATAGACTTATATGTATATGACTTATATGTATACATAAATTTGTATACTTATGTAACCTTCTGCTATTTCGTGATTCTTAAATAATTAGGGCATGTTTTATCAAGTTGGTAATACTACAATTGGTTATATTGTAATTCAAAATTTATCATTCTGCATCATTCCTTATTTACGTATTTCATGAATTTTATTTCTCAAGCGAAACTATCTACCACATTCTCTGCACTAACAGAGCCGTATTTTTTATGGGCGAAGATGACATTGTAACAGGATCGTTCAAAGTGCTCGGTGCACTGGATCCCGGCAGTAGAGGGCGCTCCTGCCCCCGACAGCCTACTATCATCGACGTTACGATAGCGAAGAACAATGGAAAAGTTCAGAAATTTCCAGGTTGAAGTGTTATTTTAGACTTGGAGTTATTTATAGGGCCATTTTCCGTGTTCGCCTGCGGGGCGAGAATTGCGATGCGTTAGGATTTGAATAGGTAGTAAGCAGGATTCAATGCGATCTTCGATAAGTAGCTTAAATGATAGGAATCGGTTTAATTAAGCTCGTTAATAAACGTACATTAAGTATTTCGGAGCTTCATAAGACTTTGTCAGTTTTGTAATTGATGCCCGACTTGTTGCGGATGAGAGTGCCGATTTAATTTATGATTAGGTATATACACAAGTACGTAATAATAATACATGTTGGGGAAGTTTGATGCGAGTAAAAGGCATGATAAAATTCAGGGGGAAAATTTCCAAAATTTATCTTCCTTGGGTAAATTTGTGGGAACTCTCCTTCTGTCGACGTTTTCTAACTAATGGAGTCTTTACCTAATATTTCATTTTCCTGCGGCATCCGGTGATTATTACGCTGGATATTCTGATTATTACGTATACCAACATCTGAAATGATAAATACTCTTGTATCATTTACATTTGTATACCGTTTCAATACTTTCTTACTCCAAACTTCCCGTACACTCCTAATAACTCACACCTACGCATTCGAACTTCATAATTCATATTTTTAACCGGGGGTATTACATAAAGAGCAGTGCATATTTCCGGAGTTCGCTCCAATCTCATTTATTTGCGAAAAACAACCTCTAAGAACAAGAAGCATTGGCTGAGTGCCATCAATGCTACCGTATTTTAGCAGTTAATTTACGGAGACAGTAGTACGTTTTAATTAAGTGCACGCTCGCAACACATGGGAATGCCGCGCTCAGTTTTGAATGTTGTTTAATTCGAAATCGAGACGTGCATAAGAGCATCGGTAACGGTGGCGCTTTCGTCTACCTTTAGAGGAAATCTTCTCGAGCACACTCGGGAGTCTCATTTTATCAGTTTACCTTCTTATAGTCTATTTCTTCATCTTTTAGACTTTTTTTACCAAAATTTAACGTAGGTCACCTTTAGTTCGCTTCATATCTTGCTTTGTTCTAAACCACTCTCTTCTATGGAAGTCTTGCTATCTGATTTTTATATCTTCCTACCAGGATGTGACTGTGTATTCTCTAGTTCTACTGCCATTCCATGGTCTCCATTGCAATACTTCATTATTCCAACTGTTGTCCATTTATTGTACATCATCTTCTACAGTGTACATTATCTTGTAATTAATTTTCTACATCATTTTATACATCGTATTCAGCATCATCTTCTCCATCATTCATCTCACTTTTTACATAATTTTATATACATATTATATTCTATATAAAGTTCTACATCATCATAGTATTCTACATCAGCTTCTACATAACCTTCTACATATTGTTCTACATTATTTTCTGCATCATCTTGTATATGCCGCTTTCTTTTACCTGCCAAACTTAGAAAGTAATAGGCATTTAATGGAGGCTGAAGGAATGTTAACAAATACCCTAGAAATTGGGCAACGTGAAAGTAACCTCTTAATACGAGCACAATCCTGTGCACCTTTCCAATTAATCAACGTCCCAACTTTGGCATATAAATCACCGTGCTCTGTTTTTGCTCTGCCGTACAACAGCTGAATAGGGAGATTTTCGGTTTTGGCGGAAAAGGAGAAAAAAAAAATAGCGAGCAAACAAAAAGCTTGGCGTGCAGGATTGAAGCTACACTGATGCAAACAGCCGGTTGACAAATTTATTTTAGCGATAAGGCCTCGCGGCGTCCGCAATAATTTCGTTTAATTTTGGAGTCGTGCCCGAATCGCCATTGTTCTGGTCAAGGACGTGCATAGGTAGGATTTTTGGTCACTACGCAAAAGAGCGGCCAAAATTATTCTAGAGATTTTTATTATTAAACTTTATTTATTATTAAATTATATTAAAGGAGCTTTTAATAATCAAAAAATAGTCAAAACAAAGTTCGTTGTACGTTAAGTAAAATTTACAACGTCATAAGTAGGCAGTGTTGCCGAACTTTTATAGAGTTTACAAAGATGTTTTATAAAATTTTTATAAAAATCCCGGTTCCTAAACGGCGAACGTGATCAGGTGTTCTCTATAATTAATCATCAAATTCCTTTATCATCTGAAATATATTTAACAGTGCCTGTAGTAGTTAAGGCTAGTAGAAAGAAGAAGACATTGGAAATTAAAAGTACTAATCGTATGACAACATCAACTAAGCGACTTGACAGCAACCTTAATTTCTGGAAAAGCTTGAGCTGAGCTATACACGTTGTATTCCTAACTAGATTTCATACATTAACTAAATTAAATAAATTATTAATGAACCAAGAAAATATGAGAGTATAGATATATCGTTTAGGCGGTAAATGTTGAAACATAAAAAATTCATTGGTGTAATATAACATTCGCTACAACTGCAATCCAATATTCCTCGACTATAACATGACTTCTTCGTGCGACGAGAATTTTTTCGAAACGATTTGAATATTTCAGCTCGTATTTTATGAGCGACAAGCTCCAGACGCTGGATGGCCCTCGCGGACGATTTAGTTGACTTTTTTATGAAAATGTTCACGCCGTGCAAATGCCGTTTTACACTTTTTAGGGACCGAGTTCCGCACGATGATTTTTTATGAACTAGGCTCGAAATGGTCCGGATCCTATGGTTTCGTTCCCGCTTAGTTTAAGTGCAAGCTTTTAATGCCATTATTGATGCTCCTGCATTTTCAGCGACTCGGGTGCTTTTTTAGCGGATGATCGATATTTTTAATTGTTTTCATCTTCTTGCTCTAAATTCCATTGTAGCGCGAAAAAGTAAGTACCAGGAAACTGGATTAGAACATAATTAGAATATAGGGTGTTTCGTTGAAATATGCACAAACCTGCACAAATGCACGGTGTGTTTTTATTGGATATACTTGAATTGAAGCATTGATTGTTCTTATGAAAAAATTTGAAAATCCAGATATGGAATTTCAAGTTTATATGATATGGTTATGACATGTTTCTTATGTACAGTTACATGAATATCAATAGATATCAACAAAATAAATAGGCACATTTTATAAAAACTTACCCTATCAAAATAGCCCAAGACAAAATAGTCCCGACAAAATAGCCCAAGGCAAAATAGTCCCGACAAAATAGCCCAAAGACAGAATCGCCCAAGACAAAACACCCCAAAGACAAAATCGCCCGAGACAGAACTGCCCCAACAAAATAGCCCAAAAATAAAATAGCTTATGAAAAAAATCTCACAGTAGAGGAATTATCACAAATCATGAATTTGTCGAGCCATTTTTAGGACAATCAGTCGTTATTTTACGAGGCATCAGACTTAAAATTAAATAAATACCTCTATTATCATTAAGTTATTATACAAACATTTTCGATTGAAGCACTTTAACCCTTATAAAACAGGGTAATGTTCGAATCGCAATTAGTTCCTGCATATTGATACCGCGTGGAGTCAATCATTTACAAAGTTCTTAAGACTTAAAGCAAAATTAATTATTTCAAACTTCGCGGAATTGTTTTTCTGTCGATTTACGCGATACCGTGCTGAGTAATAATAATTGCAAAATTTCCCGGTAAATAGCGAGTAGGCGGCACGATAAAGGCGTTATTAAATCTCATTTAATTACCTACTTTCAGTGTTTGCTCTCAGCTTTGCCCTATTAGTCATTCAGATTCATCTGAAAAAGAAACAAATTGAAAGTTTTAATGAAACGTCTTTTGTTGCAGTCGGGAGATTCGTGTTGAAAGTCGTTTGTCAATATCGTGGTTCAAACTGGCCCATCAGTTCTGGATCTCGTACCCGCCCCCCACGGCGGCGGGCAGCTCCACCAGTGCCAAGGAAAAGGAGAAGGAGAAAGAGAAAATACTTGAAGAGGAAAGAAAAGTCCACAGCAAAGAACAGCGTCAATTAGAGTACGACATTGCTATCAAAGTAAGCTCAACATTGACACCTATTATAATGTATGTAGATGCTACATATGTACATGTAATGTAGCTTGGCAGTTAAGAATTGCATTAGATGGGCAAATGGGAAAGAAAGCCAAGACTGCCCAGCTACCTTTGGTGGGGAATAATTTTCTTATAACCTAATAGTGCATATTTACAAAAAGATTTTAGCTTATGTAGATAGAAATTTCGCATTGTATTCTCAGATCTCTAGCTATTCTTGCAGGTTTGTAGATGTTTTGCAGCAATGTTGGCAATATTTTCCTGTAGATAAATTTCTTTTTCTTTAACGAATGCAAATCGAATATTTTACAAAAAAGAGATTGGAGTAGAACTCGCCGGCAATTTTTAAAAGAGCTTTCGAGCGTTAAGGGGTTGTAAATTGCAAAAGGGTTGAAATTTACAAAAAAAATCATCTTCCTTGTTTAAGAAAGTAGGAAAGGAATTCAGTGATTTAAATTCCTTTTATAGTATGCTCCAACTTTAGTGGATTTATGGCTTTGGCTCTTTTCGGAGGGTGAAGAGTCGGCGAGTTCGCAATTTTCGAACGGTCTTATTTTCCCTATTTACGATGGGAAAAATTATTTAAAGCTTATTGAGTTTGTCTCTTTCAATATTATTACAACGGAGTTGAAGGATGTAGCCTGAGGTTGGTAAATTCATCGTGCTCTCTCGCTTTTGAAAGCGGGAGAAAAATCCATGCAGAATGCTTTTTAATTAACAAATATGCTAAAACTTTCGGATAAGCATCAGTATTTTCTGGGCGAGCAATCTATTGAATGCATTCATTTTTAGTAGAGTGGGTGATATGTTTTTAAGAAAATTTTTGTAACTAGTAGATTAATGGTTTTGATTCAAGCACACTGTATATTCCTACTACTTTCCCTTACACGCAATAAACGCATAGTTTCCCGACATTCCGCTCGTGGTAGAAAAAACAATTTTCGTTTTTGGGCGTCGATAACCATTACAATCGATGGTTTCAATAAAATTGCTACGTTTCGGAATGTCTTTCGGTTTTTAGCAACCACCGCACACGTTCTCGGGAACGCCAGAAAATACAAAAACGGCCGTTTTTCCGGCTTCTTCGCCCCCCAGTTCCAATTGAATCTGTCGGTGGGATGTTTTCACTTTGTCTAACTCTAATTCACCGGAAAATACGTACGCAACTCAACGATTTCCCCACTAGTCATTTTCATCGAATCGATCACAAACGATTACAACCGACCATTCATCTCCCAACCAAACACGTTAACCCGTAGGTACATAAAATATGTCGTGATCAATGCGTTATTTATCAATTTTTTGTAGGAGCACCATAGGTCACAGCGCGAACAATGGGAAATCCGTCAGCTAGATAACGATCTGTTGCAGCAGCGCCATTCTGAAAGGGAACGTGAACGGGAACAAAAGGAACTAGCTGAGCAACGGATGCTCGTCGAACAAACCGGCACTCAAGCGGTGAGCAGCACCGCTGCAGCCTCTTCCAACATTGCGGCCTCGTCGTTCGATCAAGATGATTACAAGCTGCAAATGCTGTAAGTTATTTTTCAGTCGTCTATATGGTGTTCTTTAAAGGGGTTGTTCCATTTACTATTCTAAGAATGTTTTGTCTTTCGTTTGATTTTTGAAAGAAATACATGTGCATTTAATCTGCAAGAAGTGTTGAACATGCTAGCTAGGATGGAAGCATTCAATCTTCTTCTCATTGACTACTCAACTCTTTCAAAAACACAAGGATTGTTTCTTATTGAGTTACATCCAGCAATTGGCCGAATTCGCAAGTCTTCTACATATTCTACTGTAGTAGTCTAAAGTAATGACTTTAGAAGGGCCCACAGGAAATAATCCAAGTGGTTTAAATCAGGAGAACGAGCGGGCCATAAATTAGACCCACTTCGACCAAGCCAACGATATATCTCCGTATGCTAGTGTTAAAAACTCACGAGCAACCAATTTGAAATGCGACGGTTGAAACCACATTGTGTCTTATTATTGCAAAAGATGAAACATCTAATATTAGCTTCCTTTCCCTGGCCTTTTATCGTACAGTTATTTAGAGAGTTTACTGAAAACAATCCTCTGACCCTCTCATTACATCTATGAACAGTAAAAATAAAGAGATCTACGAGAAATAGGAATTGTGTGCGTAATCAATTTTTCAATTATCTGTTTCCGCAACACTCCGAGAGCGCGTGGTTGGAGCTTTTAAGGGAGCTTGTAAAGGGTTTTCGGCGAAAAGATAAAAATGGAGAGCCATAAAAGCCGGTTTATATTTTATATAAGAGAAGAGAAGCAGTCGTAAATAATGGGTTTCTTTTTTAGATAAAATAGAAAACGGTCGACGTGACCTCACTGCTAAAATAACGTCGTATATCTGCTTCGAACGTTTCTCGTTCTTGTTTTAAAGACGAAATTAAACAAAATAGCATGTCGATGGCTAGCGTCTTAAAAGCCGGGACGAGCGCTAGAAATTTAATTGAAAATTCGATCCATCAAAGGGATCCAATTCCATTAAAGCCATCTATTTTTAAAATCATACTTTTATTTCCGCTAAAAACGTTGCGCCATAAATTCGAAGTAATAAGAGAAAAGCCGGACCATTAGTTTCCAAAACGCGAGCTTCCATTAAATTTAACGGCTCTCGCGAAACTACCGCAATAATTTCCATAAAGAAAAATCCCGCCGTCAACGAGACTCCGTTTTTCACTTATGAATTAAATTATTTACTCATATAGATTCAAAATCGTTTACAGATACAATAATTCGACTAAGTCAACTAGTGTATAGTTATTCTTAAATTTAGTTCGGGTCCTTCTTGAAGCAAAGCCCCCAGGGAAGCGGTACTGACCAGCAAGCAATGCAAGCAAGCGGCTATATCGTTGAATTTCAAGCGTTGGCAGGAACTGTGCACCTCGCAGTAGGTCGACAAGGAAATCGAGTCGTATTTAGAGCAAAGCTCCAAAGTGCACCGGTAGCGCTCCTCGGACGGACAGAACAGCCAGAATATGGCGCTGGATATGTTGGGCTTCCTGTGCGGCGGTCCTGTCACCATCAGCCAGAAGGAGTCGATGGGGACCTGCTGGCTGAACTTCCCGCACGTTTTTATCACGCTCTGGGAACTCTGGGACTTTTTGACGTCGATTTTGTTAAACTCGTACACCGTTATCATGGCTAGACAGAAATTGTTCTGGTATTCTATGATGGAGACGTCGCAGGGCAGGCAAATTTCCTTGTTCCTCTCGACCGTGTACTTGGGAGTGGTGGAGTGCTCGTGCTTGAAATGCGTGACGAACGTCGACGGGGCCACGATTTTCTTGCACAATTTGTGCGGACATTTTATCGGCATTTTCGACGCCAGATTGTGGGAACTCGTCGAACCGATGGGCTTGTTAATTTCTAATAACGGCGGTTCTTTCGTCGTAAACGGTTTATTTAAACCGCTGTTTTTGCTTAGCAAACGCTTCAGGTCTTCGGTTGGAAGTTGGAATAAACTTTCCACTGTTATTTCTTCATCGATTGGCGGAGACGCTTCATTAGAATTTAATCTAAAATAAAATGTAATTTAATCGCTTTATTGTTTACTCTGGCTGTATATACCCTTTTGTTAATTTTTGAGAAAGTTTTTCATGATGTTAAGATTACTTTTTTGTAAAAAAAAATAAATTGAATCCCTGTTGATCGAAAAACAGATTTGATGCGAATGAATGAAAGTCAATCAGCAAAAAGAAATAGAATTCCTTATTTATTTTTCTTTTAATAGTTTGTATTAGAACAGTGGGTGCAAGTTTATGAATTAATAATGTGGGTTACCTTTGATGATCATTCTGATAATTTTTATTAATAATTTGGTTAACATTGTATCTGTAGGGCCTTCCGATTCCAGGCTTGACTTTAATCTTATTCAAAAACGACGTATTTATCTTACTCTGAGTAAACACTCCGGATATCCTACAAATGACACACGTGGCCCCGTTTTTGAGGTATCCCCTGTACCTGCATTTCAAGTCCGCGAAACAATCAATGCAATATTGGTGTTGCAATGGGCATTGGTACAACGGGGCGCTGTTCGGTATTTCTCCGCATAAGTTACATTTCACAACGGTCGTCCAATGGTTGGCTTCTTCCATTTCTCACGAGGATCGGAAGAGAAAACCGGACGCATTTACGTACATTTTTCAACGTCGTATACGAAAATTTTGCTTGCCAAACACATCAAATGTATTGTGACGGTGCTTAGAATATGGTAGCAATTGATTTATGAATGACGCACTATCATTTGACATGGGTTTTCATTGGACATGGGGAATTTACATTTTTAAAGTTCACTAACAACTTCGAGTTACTTTTGAATAAATTGCTGTTCGCCCCAAATAGCGAATGCTTGGTGTTTAGTGACCTTACATAATCGATTTGTATTTCTCCATTCTCCTTCCGTGCGCTTGGAAAGGAGGAGATAAACTGATGGCGACATTAATACCGGCGTGTGCGATTTTTCTCGAGGGGATAGAGCCAAGAAGTTCTTCGATTAGGTCGCTTTTACGCCGCATATCCGGCGCTTCCAATGGGTTCTCATTGGAAATGGGAACAAGTGAAAATTTAGGACGTTCGAGCTTCCCCCTGGAGAAAATATATAACCGTAATTGGCGTTTGGTTTTGGAGGAACATGTACAAATTGTTGGATTTCACGGGGTTGATTCTAATTCAAATTCGGGAAATGTAGCTTGTATTTTAGTGATTTATAGCGATTTGCTTTCGTGCGCGTATCAGCTCGATTCTCCGGAAATGAGATTAAAATTTCTAGTAAAAAATTTATATTTACAGGGTGGTATACAGGATGTCCAGAAAATATATGTCAATAATTCTAGAGCGTAGAGATGACATCAAAATAAGGGTACAACTTCATATAAATTTTGTTAATTTGAGCCTCCATTTTTGGGCTCCCTGTATACCCCATTAATCGGTATTAAACTCGTACAAGTAAATTTGGCAAAACCGAAACTTAATTTACCCAAATTTCCAGTTTAATTTCGCTGGGCGAATTCATTACTGTTTTCACACCGGGAATTCCAATGCGTACCTACACCTGTTCATTCTAATTGTTGCTACACAATCTTTTCGGCACAGTCTCAGTTGCCAATTTACATAATCTAATATTACTTCCACACCCGCTTAAATCGAATTTAAACTTTTGAAGTTAAAATGGAAGTTTATTCCTTCGTCGTTTGGCTCGCAAATTTTCATTCTAAAATTCTAATGCAATTAAAGAGTGTTGAAAAACTTGTGCAATGCCGTTCTGGCGTACCTCTAATTTTTATTGAAATATTTTAAAAGACTCTTCAAATAATCTTGTTAACTTATATGTCCTTATATATACTAAAAGTATTTAACGGTCGTAACTAAAAATAAAAAAAACTCCCTAAAATCTAATTTTCTCGTCCATAAACTTCGCAATTTTTTTACTCTTTTACCACTTTTAAAAGTTTTCGCCTTTTTATCATCATTATTACATTAAATCCTCTAACGAATCGTTATTGTTATGGTCCAAAGGGCGCAGTTGAAACGCCCAATTGGGTAGAATAACGCAAAAACTCTTTAATTCCACATTCGCATTTCTAAGAGCAAAGCGAAATTTCCCGAACGTTCGAGAAAGTTATCTGCTTTGGCGCTTCTCCGCCTTTGATGAACTTTATGTAAGAAATTTTATAATATACCTCCGGGATGTGCGTACGTTCGTGCATACACAAACGGTTGATTTTCGAATGGAAGAGCGCAGGAAATTTCGTTATTAATTCATAATTTTCGACGGAAACGTGATTATGAATTAGGAAATAAAGTTGAATAAATATTAGGATAAGTAGGTATGTACCAACTGATTTGCCTTCTGACAAAAAAGCACCCGGAAATTCTGATTTAAATTACCTGTACTTAGTATTTTTAACTCTTTCAATTTTCTGAATGTTTTCTGCATTTTCTGTTCTTATTTGCATGCAAAAAATTAGAGAGGTTTCTAAATCAGTTTGGTTGTAGCAGCTGATTGAATCAGTAGTGCTCTGCGAATTTTCCAATGGACAAAAATAATGAACAAACAGTTTGTCCTATATTTTGGGTTTTGAACTGAATTTCTTGTGCCGAATCGATGCAAATCCTTAAGGTGACTTTGTTTTATCGAAAACCCATATTTACGAATGGTACAAAACTTTAAAGACAGTCGAGAGATTGCTAAAAGCTTGCCTTGGCAGGTTTTCACCTCTTCAACTAACTATAATAGCGATGTACTCTGTTCCCACAGTATAATATTATAAATGATTGGGACTTTTTTGGCGTTAATTTTTTTTAATTAAGGTAATTTCCGAAATCAAATGTGTTTTTCTAACGGGACAGGCGCCGATCCACTTATTCAAATTAAGCGTCCCTTGCATAATTATGTTTGAAATATTTTCCATTTCCCTTTTTCGAAACCGGCCGTGCTCGAAGAGGATGTGGTCAAAGGTACAGAAAGGGTCTGTCATGACATTAGGACGAGTGAAAGGGTAAATATTTTCACAGCGTGACGGAAATTCTAGTAAAGTTGAGTGTGATACGGTGTTATATTCAGTCAATTTTTCTTTAGTGGATTCTTCTTTGTTCCGAATATTATCGCAAGGACTTGTAATTTTTTTAGAGGTTTTTTTATATTCGAATTTTTGGGTGTTTTTTGAGATTTTGTTCCCGTCGATATATCTGATAAAATAGCGAATACTTTTTTCTAATCATTAAATAATTTTTACAAAATACTTTCAAATAGTGTTTTTATATCATACAATTTTTTATCAGGTGAATGTCTATATTAAATTTTTATCCAGCTTTATCTGTCAGTAAATGAGTAAAATGTAGTTTTTACGACAATTTTTTGTTGCGAAAATGCCTGAAATTTCATTTTAATATTAAACAATGACTATTGTAATTAACTTTCATTGTTTGGAATTTACGATGGCATAATTAGAATTCCGTGGCTATAATTAACTCATTTTTTGCTTCGAATTGTTCTTTTTTTATACCTAACGCAATCAATAAAATAGTTTAATCGCTCAAATTATACACGTAATAATATCTTATGCCTGGTTACGTAGGTATATAAAAAAATGTAATTATTCTCACTGTTATATTTGCGTGCTAAAAGTATATTACTCCACCGACGTTTTAACCATAAAACATATATTCCCGCTTTTCTTGAACATGACTCATTTCGCGGCCCTAGTTAAATGCATTACCTATGCACTTTAAACCCGCTTCAGTGGCGCGGTTCAAAGCGAAATCCCCAGTAAAACTTCAAAAAGTCGCAAGACTAAAGCCAAAGCGTTCGGACGAGTACACCATTGCCAGGAATAAAATTCTTCAAATTATTCAAATTGAAGCAAAAATTCATTATTAAAAAACAGAATTCCGGGCAGCGCTTATGTAACCCGTTGTGAATCAATAGTCCGTCAATAATTCAGGAAATTTAGCGAATTCGCCGCGGCCAAGCGAACGGAGTCCCGGAGTCCCGGAGTCCCTTCGGCAGCCCCGCGATTCCCGCGAACCCGAAAACAAGAATTTCGAATCCCGCGTATGATGTGCCGCGTCGCACTGCAGTCGTTCCGTTTCCCTACCGAAATGCATCCATTTCTGCAGGAAATCCGCCCAATTAGATTGCGTACGTATAGGGTGATTTACGTAGCATCAACAATACCGTATTTATATGCCGGGCGTGATTTATCGAATGTTACTGCCTCAACTAGGCGTTGTTGATGCATTTATAAATTCATATACACAGGACTCGGGCTGCTGGTGGACGTTTGTCGTTAATAATACTGAACATACTAAATTTTGTATGCTATACATATATTGAATTAATTTCCTGTGTTGGGAAATTTTAATTTAAAAATGGTAAAGTCATCCATCACCTGGAAATTCTTGGTCCTACTTTGATAATTTTACTGAAAATTTTGGTTCTTCATACAGTCTTCCTCTAGTTATTCATTTTTTATTAACTCATTTCGCAATTAATTTCCTTCCAAATAATTTATTGGTACCTAACTACTTATTTGTAATAACACTAGTTTAAAATGTTTTGTGCAAAGTATACTTAGAAAGTGATGTACATATTTTTGGATAATAAAGAAAAATTTACAGACTACAGAAAATAAGAAGTTTCTTTTTAAGAAACTACAAATTAGAAATGTTGAGCATTAAATTTTTGTTTTTTTGTATGCTTTTGGATCGCTCCAGAATCTTTTAGAACTGTCTAGAACATTTAGAACGCTTCAGAAACATTTAGAACTCTCTAGATCCATTTAGAATCATTTAAATGGCTCCATGCAGAATCATTAAAAATGTCTAGATCCATTTAGAACTGTTTACAACCATTTCGAACGCCCCGGAACGTTTAGAACCAATTAGAATGCTCCCGAATCATTTAGAACGCTCCAGAACGCTCCATTTAGTCTAAATTTCTAATTATATTTGTGTTCTTTATTCCAACAACCCCATTAGCGTATAATTATTTACAAAGTGAAAAGAAAAAGAGGTGAAAAGGTGAAAAGAGCCCATTAGAAGTTAGTAAAATCCGAAATAAAACCCATCGATCGTTTGACCAAGCGCGTGTTGTGTGATGCATTCCGTAACTAAAACTCCTATTCGTTTTTCGCCTAAAAATAATGGTTCTTGAATCAAGAGTTCTCCGAAACTTGTTAAGTTCAATCGAAAGGAAACCTGGCGTATTCCAGTCTTGAAGCCTTGAATGTTTTCGATTACATTGTTATTTTAAATTGCGAAGTTGTAACTCGATTGTCGTGCGCTCCTTCGATTTACAGATTTTATTGTTCTAAACCGATAGTAGTTAACCGAGATTTTCCGAATTTGTATTTTAAATTTCGGCGCCAAGCGCCCGATCGCGCGCCGCCTGGCGCCGGAATTTCAACCCCGTTTCTGAAGCGACACCTCTTCTTTCCCCCCCGAAAAAAAAACGTTTCGTATCCGCCGAATTTCCAACAAGTGACTCTCCCGAAAATTCACCGCCGCCCGCCCGGTGGAAAGCGAAACCGGCTCTTAGGAGAAGGGCGTTTAGAGATGAAAACCGGCTGAGACGGGAACCGTTATCGGTAGTGTTTTGAGGTGAAGAGAAGCCGGGAATAGTCCGGGAGGCGGGCATTCGTTAGCAGGTCCTTTAGTGGTTTCATTTAGTAAGGGATGATTTTAGGGTGTTCGTT